GAGGCACCGCTGGCCATGGCCTCCGCAAACCAGAAGCCAGCCTAATCCCCAGCACATCCTGTTGGAACAGACCCCTGTTGCCTAATGGCACTACAGGACTTTAAGCTTATGTTCAAGCAAAGCAAGCCAGTTAAATGTATAGAAGGGTCTTATCATGGATTATATCCTAAATCTATCTGGGTATTTTGTTAATAACATCAGATACTGAAGGCATCTTTTTAAAGACTCTGCTTTTTAGTTGTTCTTTATTTTTAAATAGCTATCTTAATATGGCTGCTTCCATACTACTCACCTTAGCAATGCAAGCCATCCAAAGCGAATTAAAACACTACTCTGCATGACTCTCTGTTCGGTTTCAGCAGGGGACATGTGTCGTCCTAGAAACAAGGTGGCACAGCTGAGTAAATCTAGACAGTTTTGATGTAAATCAACACAGGAACATTTAGGGGAGACTTAACACAGGAAGCCTAATAGATTTGGATAGAAATATTTCAAACATGCTTTATTGGTTTGACAGAGTACAGTTTAATTCTTTGCTGCCTTTTTCGAAGAATAAATGAAGCCTGTGTGTCCGACCAAGCCATCCAAAAGTATCCCTTGACTTCTGCAAGTCAACTTAACATCCTGGATTTGCCGACATGGCACCGTAGCACAAGGATGTTTGTCAACTTGATACTTCTACCCTTTGAGCAGAAACTTTAGATATTTATATGTTGCTTTTTAGGTAGTAAAGCCTCACAATGCCACGTCTAAACGCCCCTGCCCACATGCAAGTAATACGAGATCTCCCTTTCTGTAGAAACCTAGCAGACCAGGAATCTCTTTTCACTTTTATTTGCCAAAAGGGTTTGTATATGGTGGAGCATTTAAGGTGGGAGGCTACCCTCTCACTGGATTAAACTGTTGCTTGTTGACAGAGCGGGGAAATGTGCCAAATACAGATAGTTGCTTAGGGTCAGAATTCATACTCATGGCATGTTTGAGGTTTGATGTGCTGATTGCTGCTCCACAGATGTGACCAGATGGAGGCAATTGACCAGTGAGCACTTTGCTTAGTTTACCTGGTGAAGATAGAGGCAGGCAGGCAGCCAGCCAGCCATATCCTGTGCAGTGCTGGACCTAGCTGCCATTTTAACTGTCCATCATTGTGTGGATCTGCTATTTCAGGAACACTGTGGAAAACTAAAATGGGGAACAGACCAAATTATCCCATGCAGGTTAAGGTTTTTTTTTAAAGCTGAGGCCAGCGGGAGCAGCCTCAAGATGCAAGCATTAATATTAATTGCAGAATAGAGACATATCCTCAAACATCCAGTTTAAAAAGCAGCTCATCTTTTCATTTGCACATTATACCTCGAGTGGCCTTTAGTCCCAAGATAATTTTGCACACCCAGTCACATTTGTGGTTGGGCAGTCAGCTTTACCACACACTACTTCGTTCAGCCCAGGATAACTATATTCATGCTTGCCAATTTCATCTTGGCTTCTCTCTTCCTGAGTGAAGGGAGAGGGAACCTGACAAGTTCTTTGACAAATATGGAATCCTGATCTACTGTGCTAACAAAGTGTTCAGCTGGCGGGATGAAGTTGACTAGACAGGAGTCTGCCAATAAAATATATTTTAAAATATATTGCATATTTTTGCACAGACTGCCATTTAAAAATGCAATGAGCAATCTGCATATTGTCTTGACTCATCTCTGACTGGGACAGCACAGTGGGTGTACACAAATTCTGCAGGACCAACCCAGAAAAATCCATTGTTCACCCTTCCAAAGGAATTTCTATATATCCATAAATACGAAATCACATGCAGTTTCTCCTTTTTGTTTAGTGGTACACAGAGCATCCTATACTCTCCCACCTCATTCAAAGGGGCCACACAGTTGAAAGACTGCATTGTGGGACATGGGGGCAATTGACTCTGTGTGAGTAGTTTTCCAACTGAAATTGCTTTTCCGAGCTGCTTTAGTCCCCAGGAGAAGTTATCACTTTCTGAAGGGGCACAAGGGGAAATATTCACAATAGAACAGTCTAATTTGTTAGGGGTGCTCCACATGAAACAGCTGCTAGCTGCAATCACTGTCATATAGTGGATAATCTGAAAAATTCTCATCACACTTCTGCAAACGTCCATATTTGAGCTGAGAAGTGATGTGAGGAGGGGTAGTTTGCTTTTGGGGAAGATATCGTGTGCTCCCTTTAAGCATGCATCAGACTGGGTGGCAAGAAGAGTTCAATCAGAAGCTTCTATGAACAAGCCCTTTGTAGAGAGATAGCTTTAAACCTTTCAAGTTAAATGTACCAGGCCACAGCCTTCCAGAAACGTGTTAAGAATTTAAGACAAAAGCAAGCAAAAGAACGTCACTGCTGTCCACTGTATCTGAACAACAGGTTTATTAAGAAAATTAACATGACATGAAATGCAAAATTGTGCAATTATGGCAAAATGTTTAAAAATCCACACATTTGCCCTCAGAGGACTACAGTACTTCTTACTAACATACCTGAGTGCTGAACAACTGATGCCATTTCTAAACAGAGCAGAAAACAGGGAGTGTTTTGACATTATGCCAACCACATGCACAACACAGCCAGCTGTAACAGTCGAGGGAATCGGCCACCCAGCACAGCTGCTGCATAGCCTCACTCCAATTCCACAGGTCATGTGCAAGGCTGTGGTTAAGGCACAACAGCAGCACTTGGCAGATTGTACCTCCAAATTGATAAAAGTTATGGAATAAAATCTGAAAACGTTTTCCCAGCCTGTTTTTCTCTTTTTAATTATAAATGGAAGAGCAGTATCAACAAAATAAGCTAAGTAAGAACAGCAAGAAAATAAATTGGGCAGAGAGATCAAACGTGGCCCCGCGCAGGTTGGCAATTATGGGAACTTTGGTGCAGATCTGTGTTGTCGGTTCTCATGCTGAGCAGGGCTGTTTTAGAATTGGGTTTTCCAAAAGCAAGTTCACACTGGCAAATTCTCACTGGATAATTTAGAAGCATGTAAACAACTAAAATTCCTCAGTTAATATTACTGCTTATATACCATATTTTTCGCTCTATAAGACGCACCTGACCATAAGACACACCTAGTTTTTAGAGGAGGGATCCATGGAAAACTTCCTGATAATCACAGGCACATTCCCCATCACTTCCCCATGGGCTTCATTAAAAGACGGGTTGCCATTTGAAAACACACACCGACCTGTGATTAACAGCTCTCACCTGCGCCGGAGGAGGGGGGCGTAGCAGGGTGCGCCGAGCATGGGCCGGCCAGGTGTGGTGCAGCCAGGCCGGCAGCGTGCCAGCGGTGGTTTTCTGGGCGGCGCAGTGGCAGCAGCAGGTCTCCCCGGGCAGTGGGGGTGAGCAGTCCATCTCTCCGTGCAGCTGGCAGGTTAAAGCCCGTGGCTCCTCCTCCTCCACACCGCTCCCCCTGAGCAGCACAGCTCTCACCTGCACCGGAGGGGGGGGCGGAGCAGGGTGCGCCAAGCGCATGCTGGCCAGGTGGTGCCACGTGGTGCAGTCGGGCCGGCAGCGTGCCAGCGGTGGTCTTCCGGGCAGCGCAGCAGCGGCAGGTATTCCCAGGCGGTGGGGATAAGTAGTCCGTCTCTCTGTGCGGCTAGCAGGTTAAAGCCCGCGGCTCCTCCTCCTCCGCGGCAGGTCTTCCCGGGCAGTGGGGGTGAGAAGTCCGTCTCTCCGTGCGGCCGGCAGGTTAAAGCCCGCGGCTCCTCCTCCTCTGCACCGCTCCTCCTGAGTGGCACAGCTCTCACCTGCGCCGGGGGGGGGGGGGGGGGGG